TGTGTTCCTGCAGTCACTGGGGACTGAAATTGTTGTTTATACTTTTTCCCACCAAATGGCATGCCATCTCTATAAATGGCAGGGCATTGAATTATAATACACTTTAGTAATTTATGTTTTGAAGATTGTGTGGCCCTTGGATTCACAAAGCAATAATTTTTTTGAACAAATTTTGTTTTGAGTGCTTTTTAGAGATAGTCATAAACTAGTGTGCATGTGTGTTTTCATAATTTATGTGACTGTTTTTTTTTCAGTTTTCCTTAGAAAAATCAGTTCTCACCCAAAGTCTAATATCAGTGCAAAATCCTAAACAACAGATTTATATGTGCTTTTTGTGAGTGACTCTGCACACATACACTCAACAAAAATATTAACGCAACACCTTTGTTTCTGCTCCGATCTTTCAGGAGATGGACTTAAAAATCTAAAATTCATTCCAGAAACACAATATTACCATTTCTCTCAAACATTGTTCACAAATCAGTCTAATCAGTCTAATTGTTGTCTGATGCACTTATGACTCAATGCAATCAACAAATTACCAGAGGAAAGATTTTTTTCATGCTTTGGTGGGTGGTGAGGGTTGGGGGAGCTTTATATGTCACTGTAAGACTCTTTGATCCACACCAAAACTTTGTGGTAGCTGGATATAAACTGAATGTGCTGCAAATGTTCAAAAGTGACCAACTTATGCACTGTTGCAAGTTGTAACACCCACAAGAATACAACTTTCTGAACAGATTAAATCTCATGAACACACAAGTACCAACAGCTACAACATCAAAGATGCAGCCTGTAAAAACAAATGCCTACATCAATCAATGTTTACACTTGCGTCCTTGCTGAAAATGTTTATTTGGATAGCTCAGATTGGGATTAGTTTTTTCCACTGCAAAAATAGCACGACGTCTCAATGTATCACAAGCCTGTGAACTTTTTTATGAGCTAGAAGCCCAGCAGGAACCAACAGTTTCCAGTAAGTCTTCTGACGATGACCTTGTGGACGTCGAGGATGAACGTTTTGTCCCAGCAGGCACAGAGTCTGATCCTGATGAGGATGGGGAAGAGGAAGAAGACTCTGATGAAGAGATGGAGGAGGAGGGAGGGGCAGATAATTCTCTGTGGAGTTGAAAGGGCGGCATGCCGCAGGAGAGCCATCATTTTCGGCGAGAAAAAATCCCAGGTCACAGTATCACTCGGTACGCCGTGAGCCAAACAGAAATCACTGAGCATTGTTTTAATTTTTTTATTACGGATGAAATCCTCAACCTGATCATTCGCCACACGAACACGGAGAGGATCCAGAGAAATGCAGAGTGGATGTTGACTGAGGCGACGAAGCTGCGGGCATGTTTTGGGCTGCTGATCCTGGCTGAAGTGTACCGCTCCCGGAGTGGAGACAGGTCAACCAGC